CAGAATGGTATTCTGTTTAACAGCACAATTAAAACTGCGATTAATTAGGATTCATTTTAAAAATCATTTGACTGCCTTAGTATTTTTATTTTAATCTATTCTATCCATTGCTTCAACAGTTTTTTTTGGTTTTTATTGTTATGTGGGATTTTTTGTAATCCTTAATGTATCTAACATTTCCAAATAGATAAGATAATGTGGACATAAAATAGATTACATGCAGAAAATGTAATGATCATATAATTCAGTTTGTCAGGAACCTCAGATTTAAATGGAATGAAATTTTAGATGAAAGGCCAGTTATTTGTAAAACAAAACCATGTAGTATTAACTTTTTAAAAAGGCTTGTATCATTTTCCCTTCATCCCCCACAGCACCACCAATTTAACTTTTTTCCAGTTTGTTAGGTTAAAAGTAGGAATCCTGTTAGAAGAATCATGTGACTTATGTTTTTAATATGATTTTTAAGTATCTTGAAATAGCATAGCACTATCTTGCATTCTGACAGTTTGTCCTACTTTCTGAAACTGAAATACTTTATGAACATCAGAAAGCATGCATTTGTGTTGAAATGCACTGAAGCCTGAAAGCCATTCATGTTAACTGATTAAGTTGATAAATATCACTGAAGGGTAAGGTAGCAAAAGGATTTTATGTACTGTTTTTAAACTTGCAGTTTAAGACATTTAGTTAGCAAATCTAATCCTTTGGATCTTGGAGAAATACAAACCTAGCATTTGTAATGAAAAATATTTGAACTAAATATTTTCTTCTAAATAAGAAGTCCTATGTAGTGGAAAAGATATATATTTATCTCTATCTGCTGTGTTTGTTGAAATAGTATTTGAGTACAAGATCCCGTGAGTAGTTCAAACAATACTGTATGTTCTTTCCTCCCTTTCTCATTAATAATTATCCTGTTACTGTGGGAAAAGATGGTGGAGAGGCATTTCATTCTGAAGTTAAGGGTTGTGGTTTTTCTTGGCTCTTCAAGGAAAGTTTTTCACAGTCATAGGCCAGCTGCCAACATAGTGGTCTGTCCTGTCAGTTTTCCTCTTGATATCAATAGTTATGATGTTCCTGAGACATGTAGCTCATGTGGTAAATCTTAAGTGCAGAGGTAAAGGTAATTCCTCAGAGACCCTCAGCCCATGGAGAGCAAAGAAAGTAAGAGCAATATCTGAAACCTAACTTGGTATTCAGTGAGGAACAAATGAAAGTATTGCGGTCTGGAGATAGTTTACTCCTGAATTTTTTTGCCTCATTGTCTGGAGCATTGTTCCAAGTATCATGCATTGCACTAATCAAGCAGGGAGCATATGAAAGCATGGATTAAAGTGTCTAAATCCTCCTTTATCAGGAACAGGAACAATCTCTTAGTGGGAGCAGGTATTTTGCAGTGGCTTCCATTTGAAAATCCATTATCCATAGATAAGGACTTGCTAATTCCTCCATACTTTAGTCAAGAGGTTAAAGAAGCCTTTTTCATAAGAGTAAAAAATTGCATATGGACAAGGCCCCATGGACACACTGGTTCAAAATCTGAGGTGGAAGCTCTTAAGTTCTGAAGCAACATTCATTTATTCTGTCATCATGAACTGTCACTACCATCCCATCATCCACACCCAATCACATATAGCTATGGCTCACAGTTGAAAATACTCTGCAAAATTTGTTGATTTACTTTCAACTATAATTGTGTTTGAAAACGTTTTCCCTGTGTTCTCTAGGTGATCTGTTCCACAGCTCCTTCCCATCCATATGTATTTGGAACGCTTATAGTTGGTTTCAGCAGCATATCTGCCGATCTGAAGGCCTCAGTTGCTACACTGTTCTCTGGGCTGCCTAGCTTGCTCCCTATACTTCTGGTCCCCAGTTGCAAGTTAGACTCAGCACTGGTTCCCCATCCTCCTGCCTGGCTATCTGGAACAGTCCAAGGAGCATTCTGGTGAAAGTTGCAGAGCAACAGAAAGTTGAAGGCAGGTCCTAGCAGGGCAGGTAGAGAAAAAAAAATATATATTGGGCACTTAAATGCAGTAAAAATGGTGAATTCAGTGGCAGGCTGAATTCTATGCCATAGTGGGGAAAATATCAAATTACGTACTGTAAAATTCATGGTGACCCAATTTGAGATTAATGGGGCAGATCATACTTCACAAGGCTGTTTGATTTAGGCTGTCTGCAGATGCAGTCAGGTACCGTTGTATTGATTTACACTAGTTTCATGTCATGGTTACAAATTTCATAATCGGAAAGACTGGGAATTTTTTTAATTAAAACTCAAGATTCCAGTAAACTATTCAGGTACAAGGGGGTGAATTCTGCAATAAATTCTACAGCCATGGAATACTGTGATCATGTCTGAGCCTTGTCTACTCTAGGAAAAGTCAAATATTTAATTCACTGACAGTGCTAATGACAGTTGAAGATATTGTGTAGGTACAGGCTTTTTTTTTTTTTTTTTTTTTTTTTACAACTGTTATCTAATCAAAAGATGGCTGCATCCTATCTACACTATAGCTTCCAACATTGTTACCACTGGTGGAGAGCCATAGGTCTGAATTTGTCTAGTGTAGCCTCATCTTTAGATTACTACCTTTCCAACACGGAAGTGTATTGATTTCAAAGACCTTAAGCTTCAGTATATTGGGAAGGAGGTGGCTGAAGGGAGGCAGGGGGCAACAGTGGTATAGAGGACTGAGCTAAAAGCTAGGACACTTGGTTTCTGTTTGCAGTTTTGAATCACTAAAACTATGCAAATATCATCCCCTTTTAGAAAGTTGTGTGAGGTCTGTGAATGAAAATTTGTTATGAGTGTAAGGATCGAATTTAAGTCTATTAGGATGGATTAATGAGAATCCGTTGATTGAGAAGCTGCTTAATATTTTGTTTAATCTTCATTGTTCAATGTGTAGCCCTTGGCCTCTTACCGCACAGTGCGTACTATGTAAACCCTGCTCTGAAGACAGAATTAATAATTTCCTCAAACTCTTATATGGCTCTCATGGCCGTAGTAATATTTCACAAATGTTGATTCTTCATAAAACTCCTGTAAGGTAAGGGGATGGTGTTATCCCCTTTTTATAGATGGAGAACTGAGGCGCAGAGATTCTATTCAAAAGTATCCACTAATTTGAGGTGCTTAATTTGAGTTACCTAGGACCTGATTTTTCAGAATATTTAACACTATATAGCATCCTGTATATTCCAGCCCAGCTGCCATTGATTTCAGCTGCAACCCTAAGTGCTCAGCACTTATGCAGATATGACCTTAGAGTCTCTAGTAGGGCACCCATAAAATGAGGAACAAGCAATTAGTGACTATCTGAAAAGTTTGATTTTTTTTTTTTAAGTGAGTAGTTTAGCATCGCACAGGAACTCTGTGGCAGAGGTAGGGATAGAATCCAATTCACTAGGACAGTATTCAGCTTCCTTACCCATGAGACCTTCCTTTTTCTTTCCAAAGTCATTCACTACACACCTTTCAACTTCATCAACAAATAAGGCAGGGGTCCTACAGACAAGACTCCTTTAAAACAACCCTGATTCATACCCAGGGCAGGTCCATTTTCTGCACTGTGGAAAAAATAGTATCTGATAATTTACTTACAAACTGTAGCATAATGCATATGCACGTGGGGGCTGAATTAAGGCTACATAGGTAACAGTAGTTGTGACACTTCGTAACTTCTGAATGCTTGAAGTTGTAATCGTAATATTTCAGTGTGGTTGTGTGCATGTAGCTTCCTAGCTTTTTAAGAAGTGTACTGAAAAAACAAATTTCATCATGTAACAGCATACTGATGTCCACAGTGATCATCAGCAGAGTTGGTATCTTTAGATCCACCAGACAGATCTCTGCCACCTGTTACTATTGGAGTAACTGATCGCACTAATAATGTGTCGTGTCATGTGGATCAGTACCAGAGGAGGGGGGCACTTTGAGAGAAACCCACTGACAGAGATTTCAGGAGAGTAGGGGGAGTGGAGTGCTAAGATTCTGGAATTTTGGGCTCCATTGTAGGTTCTGGGGTAGAGTGCTCTAGAGTCTAGTGGACACTGACTTTTTCTGCCTGTTTCTCCTAGACTAGACCCTTTCTACCCTCTCGCCTCTAACCTGTCCCATTCCTGTCTCTCCCTACCTCTGGCTCCTTGTAGCAGTTCCATTTTCCTCACCTACTTAGTCCCAGTCTCTGTTACTCAGGTTTCTCAGCCTCTTTGCCCATGTAGTTGTAGTCTCTCTCTCCCTTTTGTACTCACTGTCCAAGTCCCATCTCCCCTGCCCCAACTCTTTCCCTCCCCACATCCAGGCCCAGTTTTAACTTGCCCTGCCAGTCCCAGTTAACTCATTCCTCATTTAGTCTCTCCTTCCCCCACCCCCCTTATCTGTTTATCCTAGTATTATTGAGCCCCTCTAACCATAGTATCTGAGCTAATGGAACACTCCTCTGAGGTAGGGAAGTACTGTTTTATCCACATTTTACTAATGGAATACTGAAGTACAGTGACTGAGAGCTAGTTTCACAAAAGGAGTTGGCTGCCTAACTGCTAGTGGAGACTGATTCTGGGATTTACAAAACCCACACTCTGCTGCTGCCAAACCCTCTAGGCACTTAAACTCTGCCTAAATTTTTGTAATAAAATTCCTTAGTTGCTTATGTTTCTGCTTCTGGGCATGTATGGGACAGCCTCACTCTTGGCATCTGGACGCTTACGCCCCAGAATTATGCATGAACCAAGGGAAGATAGGTGTTCCTTTGTTAAACTCTCCTGCGGGGACTAATCAGGTAAGTATGTTCAGCACTCACCTTTTGGATCGAGACCTGATTGCAAATTGGCACAAAACAGGTGGTGGAGGGTTGCAGGGGAGGAGCCAGGGGACCTGATTCTCCTCCTCCCACCTCTCATATGAATGGTCTAGCCACCAAGCTCCAGAATCATTTTCATACTTGAACACATGTTCTCTCTTGCCTAACGATTCTTGCATTATTTATCTACAGTGGAACAGCTTCAATAGGAGAGACTGAGGGAACTCCACATCAATATACCCCAGTGCCTAGGACACTCCCCTAAGAGGTGGCAGACCCATTTTCAAATCCCTTTCTCCCCTCAGGGAAACTGAGGGTCTCCCATATCCCCGGTGAGTACCCTAGCCTCTGGGCTAAAAGTTTTATGAGGGAACTCCTCTCCTCTCCCTCCCTGGCTTCTTGCAAAAGTCATAGGTGAGGGTTTATAGATGAAAATCTGAAAGCAGAGGGAGGTGCTTCCCTGCAGCCTGGGCTTAAGTGCCAATTTTCCTGAGATGTGCAGGATTTAGTACATACCCCTTGACTTGACATCATCTTGGTTAGCTTAGGTGGAGAGCTGCCTAGTGTGCTGGTTTTTGTAAATCTCCATTCTGAGGCTCATATCCCTCCATTCCTTGCGCAGGAGGCCTGAGCACCAAACTCAGACTTTATGAATCCTAGTGATACTTTTTCTGGGCACCTAAAAGATATGGTGACACTGAGTGTCACCACTCCTAAGTACCTCTGTGAACCTAGCCCTCAGTGACTTGCCCAAGATCACACATGCAATCTTTGGTGAAGCAGGAAATTGAACCTAGGTCTTCCAAGTTCTAGGCTAGCACCCTATCCACTGGCTCATTCTTCCTCTAACCCTAACCTTTCTTTGGCTCCTACTCAGTCTCCTTGCATGGCCAGTTCCAGCTGTCCCCATGTACTCTAGCTCTTTGTCCAATCCCAATATCCTCAGACTTCATACTTTCTCCTCTGAAAGCCAACTGGCTTCTAATTGCAGTCCCAGAGTCCCCTCTCTTGCCCAGCCAGTCAGTTTCTCCCTCCAAACTCAGTTTCTCTGCCTGTGTCAGTGGACCAGGTTGTAGGCAGCCGTGCTTAGTGGTTGGAGCTGGGGGGGGGGGGGTCAGGGCTGAAGTCAGAGCCTGAACATTGGAGCTAAGTGAGGCAGAACTGCGGATCAGAACTGGATTATCGGGAGTCAGGGAAGACAGGAGCAGAGCTGGTTCTGAGGCAGCACCAAGGCTGGGTGAAGGGCAGGATTTTGGCCTGGAGTGGTGGAAGAGCAGATCAGGAGTAGGGCTTCAAGAGATGAGCAAAGGGAGGCGGAACATACATGGGCACGTACATTGAGCAGCCAGAGAGCTACTGCTGTTGCTAGGTTTAAGAACCTGCCTGCTGGCTTTTGCAGCCAGTCAAGCAGGGGAGTTCATCAAGCAACCTAGCTGGCTTGTTAGGGCATAGTAAATACTGAGCAGGTGCACCTGAGGGCCTTACTCCTGACAGTCTGTTTCCCCTGCCCCCCATCTTTTTGTATCGCCTTTCCTTCTGCTCCTTTCTCCCCTCCCCCTGCAGCACAGTTATTGTCCCCTCTGTATTTGAATCTGGTAGCCTCCTCCTGTATGCTGGCACCTACTGGAAGTGGGTAGTGTCAGTGTGTCACTGACAGCAAAAGACAGGCAGGCAGTTTTGGGCAGTCAGTGGAGTCCCCCTGTGGCTGGAGGGCCCCTAGGCTGTCTGGAGCCCCAAGCTCCCACCCCCCACGGCCAGAGGAGCCCTGGGCCAGCCAGAGCCCCCTGCCGAGCTGCGCTTCACCTCCTCTCCTGAGGCTACAGCCACCTCGTAGGAAAAGCGTCTCTTCTCGATGAACCACCTGAGCTTTTTATATGTTCCATGCAGGTTCCAGTGCTGCTGAGAAGGCAGTATCTGCTTCTCCCCAGGGAGATGACTGGAACCTGCATGGAGCATATGAAAAGCTCAGGTGACTTGTCGGGAAGAGATGCAGATGGCTGTGATCTCAGGAGGGGAGGCACAGCCTGGCGTGGCCTATTATAACTGTTGCCTATGCTGTTACTTCTAGGGCCTGGCCACGCCCTGGCCTGGAGGCAGTGGCCATTACAAGGAAATTGAACCCCCCCCCCCCGATTTATAGGTTGGTCAGATTTAGGTGGATTTTCACAGGGATGGCAAAAGCAAATACCTGACACAAAGGCACTCCCAAATTTCAAGTTCCTGCTCCAAAGACTGGGGGGTACTAGAATATTTCAAAGAAAAGGTCTTGAGAGCCTTTTAATACAGGGGGGAAAAAACAGAGAAATATTGTTTTGTCCTCACTTCATTTTCAGCAAGAGCTGAACCATTCTGGCTGGACCTTTCTTAAAAAAAAAAAAAAAAAAAAGAAAAAAAAAAGAGATTCAGCTTGATACAGACACCCCACATAGAACATTTCATCCCAAACAGTTAAAGGAATTGAAAATGGGGTCTTTAAATAGGAAGTGTCTGTGTCCTTAATATCAATTTAAAGGAAGACTGTATAAAACTGGATTCTGTTTCCGTTTGGTGTTTTTAATTGTTGTATCATTCTTCTTTTCAGATGATATTAACTGTGTTCTTGAGCAACAATGAACAGATTTTGACAGAAGTTCCAATTACACCAGAAACAACCTGTCGAGATGTTGTGGAGTTCTGCAAAGAACCCGGCGAAGGAAGCTGCCATCTGGCTGAAGTGTGGCGTGGAAATGGTAAGCGAAAGGCTCCTTGGTAACAGATGTACATTTCATCATATTTATTAAGATACAAATGTAGATTTTTATTACTGGTTTTTAGTTTATTTTGCTTTTTCTAGAGAATTTTTTGCTGAATATTAAGATATCAAATGGTCACAGCTGTAAAAATAAATACAGCCCTTGCTGATTTTTTTTTCCCTTGTCCCTTCCCAGCTGGAATATTTTTATGAAATGTAGTAGACAAACAATAAATGTCTCTAAGGTTATGTGAGACATTTCAGATTTTTAGTTTAAATAAACAGTTAAACTGAACATTTGTACTTAAGCAGAAATTTAGTTTAGTAAATTCATTTTGGGCTTGGTTTTTAAGCTAAAATGTCTCTTCCCCCCCCCCCCCCCCCATTATCAAACCTGCAAACCCAACTGGGATCTAAGGCTACAGCTGCTCTACAAGCTAGGGGTGTGATTACCTTGCTCATGTACATGCTAGCTCTCATTGAGCTAGCCCATGTATAAATAGCAGTGTAGCTTCCATAGCATGGGTGGAGGCATGGTTGAGGCATGCTGAGTACAAACTTGCCTGAGACAATGGATATATATGCAGCACAGCTCAGCTGTGCTTCTGCACTCTATCTTCCTCTTTTCATGGAAGCTTCATTTCTGGTGATAGCCAATGCTTCTGGCTCTGGGTTGTGATGTCTTGTATTTAATTTTCCATAAATAAGTGGTTTTCCATATGTCTCCGTCTCCTTGTTTATCTTAAACCATGAAATCTCCCTTCCTAACTTCTCTAGCCTTGCTTTAGGATTGGGGAAGATTGGGTGGCATTCTTCAGACATTTGTAGAGCCCTTCCAGAATAAGCTGTTCAGATAATACTGAAGTCCTATTCTCTTCATTAATTTCAAGATTCTAAAGAAGTGAGAGGTATCTCAATGTGTCTTCTCCTACGACCTCAGAACCTACATCTAACTTTTTTTTAAATGCTCCTTTCTTCCATTTGCACAGCTCCCATGTTGAGTTAAACTCACAGGATGGGTGTGTACAATACTGGGCTTTTAGTAATATATTTCCAAGCTTAAGTATAAATGTACTGTGCAGTATTTCTCCTGTGAGGGGAGAAAAAAGCAAAACTTAAAGTATCTCTATAGTTCTTTAGACACACTCCTGTGAATGGCACTGTGAGGTCTAATGTGTGTCTCCCCTCTTTTCTCCACCCCACCCCCCAACACCACAGTGCTGTATAGTATTTGTCTTAATTACCTCATGGCTCTGTGTAGAGGCTACATTCCATTTTGAATTGTCCAAGGGCTGGAGTATAAATTTAGCTCAAGTCTCAATCATACTAGCCTCAAGCCTCAGCAGGACTCCTAGTGATATCAGTGGAAGGTTTGCAAAGGATTGGGGGTAGAATAGGGCTTTTAACTTTACTTACTACTGCTAAGTGCATTATTGTCAAATTTCATGTCACTCAGTGGGAAGAGATGATTACATTTAGGTCCATCCCTCCTTTTGTTTTTCTCTTTTCTTTGTCTTCTCATTTCGTCCTTCTGAATGGCTCTCCCTTTTTAAAGATCAGCAATAGAATAGTTAATGCTGACATTTAAGTGTCATTTAAACATTTCAGTTAGATTAATGAAAGATAGGGAAGTTCACACCTGAGTCATTGTTACAGACTGTCTGCAGCCTTAAGAATATCCACTTCCATTGTTAAGAAGTAAGCTGCTAACCCTCATGGATGCACAGAAAACTTTCTAAATGCGAACCAAATGTAACTGAAGGTATTGTCTTCCTAAGAATCTGAATGTCATGTGGACTGCATAAATACATAAAGTGGACCACAAGTAAGGAGTTTGACACCACTGGAATAGGTCTAATATCTTGAATGTTTTTAGCCCTTCACTTTGTTCCTGTCTGTACCTCCAAAGTATCCGAAGTAAGGATGAATTTATTGGATTGTTCAGAGAATGTAGTATCAACTAGCTACAAAAGATTACCTGGCAAGTGATTTATTCAGACACTCACTGGATATTTTTAGTTTCTAATGTTTTGGTGAGAATGGCAGGGTACAGCCTGTGTGACAAATATAGGCACAAGCTTTCTATAGTAACTACTCGGATCCAGTAAAGACTACAATTTTGTGGTTGTAGTTCATGACCTTTTCAATGTGCTGAACACTTTGGGCAAAAATCCTGAAGTTGATAGTTTATCTAGAATATGATCCTCCCACAAAGATTAGTAAAAACTTGAACAATCTCTCAAAGTAGACATGTAGCTTCTGCTGTATGGGCTATCAAACTGTTTGATATATGCTTATTGTGATGCTGGCAGACCTCACACCCATGCATCCGGACCACCACGAGCCTCACCATGTCAAGCCTCACCCCTGCATCTGGAGCCCTCCACACCTGGCCTGCTACCTACCCTCTGCCGGCTGAGCTGCTAGTCCTAGCTGGGCTGAGGGTGGGGGAGAAGTGCACTTCCCCTGCATGGATTGGCTGGGTCTGGGTCAGACCCATGCCCAGAAACTCCCCTGGCTCCGCACCCCCACCTTGCTTCCTGCCCCCTTTGCTCCATGTCCTGCAAGAGCTGCTATGAACACAACTTTGTCCTCCAAACCATCATCAAAATGGCCAGAAGGGTGCAGAGGCAGTGCACGGTAACAGGGCTCAACCTGGCCAACGCCTTTGGCTCCATGCCCCACCACCACATCTTTGCCACGCTCCAGGAGTTTGGGATGCCAGAGAACTTCCTCCGTGTGATCCAAGAGATGTACGAGGGATGCAGCACCACCATTCGCTTGGTCGAAGGGGAGACCGCCAAGATCCCGATCCAGAGCGGAGTTAAGCAGGGCTGTCCCCTCAGCCCCATCATCTTTAACCTCGCCATGGAGCCGTTGCTGTGAGCAATCTCCAAGGGCGCAGATGGCTTCAACCTCCACGGTGAGAGGGTGAGCGTCCTGGCTTACGCGGATGACCTGGTCCTGACCGCAGATGACCCAGAGAACCTCCAGCATATGCTAGATGCCACCAGTCGAGCTGCCAGTTGGATGGGGCTCTGCTTCAATGCAAAGAAGTGCGCATCCCTCCACATCGATGGCAGCAAAAGGGACTCGGTGCAGGCAATGGAGTTCCAGATCCAGAGCGAGCCCATCATCCCCCTGGCAGAGGAGCAGGCCTACCGACACCTCAGCACACCGATGGGTTTCCGTGTCCGGCAGACACCCGAGGACACCATCCAAGAGATCTTACAGGATGCTGCCAAGATCGATACCTCACTGCTAGCACCGCGGCAAAAGATAAACGCCCTGAACACCTTCCTGATCCCCCGCATCTCGTTTGTCCTAAGGGGATCTGCCATGGCAAAGGTACCCCTCAACAAGGCAGACAAGATCATCTGGCAGCTGGTGAAGAAGTGGTTGTTTCTTCCCCAGAGAGCCCACAATGAGCTGGTCTATATCACCCACAGGCATGGCGGTGCCAATGTCCCCCACATGGGTGACCTGTGTGACATTGCGGTGATCACCCATGCCTTCCACCTGCTGACATGTCCCGACGCCATGGTAAAGAGCATTGCAGCAAAAGCCCTCCATGACGCAACACAAAAGCGGATCAGCAGAGCCCCCTCCAACCAAGACACCGCCAGCTTCCTGAGCGATTCCCTGGATGGTGAATTTGGCCGAGACGGGGGTGACATCGCTTCACTGTGGTCCCGCGCCCGCAATGCCACGCGCCGCCTGGGGAAGCGCATCGGCTGCCGCTGGGAGTGGTGCGAGGAGCGCCAGGAGCTGGGAGTTCTGGTGCTGCAGATCAGGTCTGAGGACAACACCATAGTCACCCCACGCACCAGGGGCATGCTGGAGAGGACCCTGAAGGCAACCATCCATTCGCTGTACATAGAAGCCCTAAAGCATAAGCCAGACCAGGGAAAAGCCTTTGAACTGACCAGCAAGTGGGATGCCAGCAACCACTTCCTCGCCGGGGGCGGCTTCACCCGCTTTGCCGACTGGCGGTTCATCCACCGCACCCGGCTCAACTGTGTCCCGCTCAACGGAGCCGTCCACCACAGGAACCGAGACAAGCATTGCAGGAAGTGCGGCTACTCCAACAAGACCCTGCCCCATGTCCTTGGAGCAGGGCTTGCAGCTGCATGAGCCTGGCAGCTGCGCCACAACACCATCCAGAACCGCCTGGTGAAAGCTATCGCCCGCGCCTGCGGGAGGTCGCTGTGAACTGCACCATCCCCGGTACTGACAGCCCGCTGCGACCCGACGTGGTAGTCACTGACAAGGCCCAGAAAAAGATCATCCTCGTCGACATCACGGTCCCCTTTGAGAACAGGACCCTGGCCTTCCGAGAAGCCCGAGCTCGGAAACTGGAAAAATATGCTCCTCTGGCCGACACCCTGAGAGCAAAGGGCTATGAGGTGCAGCTGCATTGTGGGGTAGAAAGGAGTAATTTTAAATTGGATGTCAAATTCTGTTAAAATGTTTAGTCCAGAGCAACAAGAAAAGGAAGGCCAGCTCTTACTGCTTGTTTCTTTTACTACCAAATCAAGGAAACACCTATCATTTAAATCAGCCTCTGTAGCAGATGACTGTAGGATAGCTAATATGATGCCAATTTTTAAAAAACTCCAGAGGCAATTCCAGGCTGGTATGCCTAACTTCAATACCAGGCTAATTGGTTGAATTTTTGTATTAACAGAATTATCAGACGCATAGATGAACACAATTTGCAAAGGAAGAGTCAACATGGCTTTTGTAAAGGGAATTATGCCTCACCAATGTTAGAATTATCTGAGGGGGTCAACAAACATGGACAAGGGCGATCCATTGGATATAGGGTACTGGGACTTTCATGAAGCCTTTAACAAGGTCCCTCATGAAAGGCTCCTAAGCAAAGTAAGCAGTCACAGGATAAGAGGGAAGGTCCTTTCTTGGATCAGTAACTGATTAAAAGACAAACAAAACGTAGGAATAAATGTTTTTCAGAAATAGAGATAAATAGTGGGTGTC